TGCATATATTTGTTCACGACACCGATGGTTTAAAATTTCATAACAGGTACAAACTGAAGCGTGTAAAACTGACCCCCCCAATTGAAGAGGTGGAGTTAAAACTAGGGGGCTCAGGCCAAGGGGAAGACTGGTTCTGCAGCTCCCTCTCCGTTCAGTTTGAACCAGAGGCCAACGGGACGACGTACTACTTCCCTGTGGATCGCTGGCTTGCACCAGGTCAGAGTTAAACCAGTCATAGGCAGATGGCTTTTTGCATATTATTGCAAGTGGCTCGGTGGAGTTAGAGAGGCTATTTTTTCATATTATGAATGTGCTTTAGTAAGAATAAACAGAGCAGTAGCTTGGTACGCTAGACCACGTGAAGGTAAACATAATTATACATTTGCTTTGCAAATGTTAACTTTTAATGTCTTCCGTTTTGAGTAATATGTATGCGCAGATTGCAGGACCACCCCTTTTTGTTTGCCCACAAGTAAAGCCGACTTCCCTCACACTGGGCCCACATTTCTTGCTAAAACCTGACTTCTGTCCGATTTGTGCTCACAGGTACCTCTGTGTGGCTGGTTCCAGGCGGTTGTGTCCTCCCTCAGGATGACAAGCATCCGGACCAGAGGCAGGCTGAGCTCAAAGTGATGCGGGAGCGCTACGCCTCCTACAACCCCGTGGAAGGCCTTCTGCCAATGGTATGTGGTTGATCGGTTTGCTAATGTATTTATCTGAAGTTTTTACTGGTTACCCTATCCCAGTTGTCTCATCCCTTAAAGCGACGGTCACAACCCGCCGTACGTGCTTCTGCGTGCTGTCTACGTGCAAAAACGTGGGCAATCGTACGGCATCCGTGCGTGGTGAGTACCACCTCCGTACGGAATCCTACGGATTTGGGAGCACGCAGACACGCCGTAGAACTTTAAGTGCATGTAATACTTTTTCTACGTGCGGTCTGCGGATTTACCACCCGTGCGTGCGAGTACGTGCGACGCGCGTGCCCCGTACAGCCTATGAGCGTGCAACGTACGGACTCCGTGAGTCTAACTTCACTATTCTCACGTGCAATTGCTGTACGGACAGCGCACGAAGCACGTGCGTGCCACGCACGGTGCTTGCGTCATCCGTGCTTACTCCTCACTTCCCAGTTGACCTGCTCAATGACCACGCAGAACACACGTGCATCATACCAGGTGCTCCGCACGTGCAACGCACCTGATCTCTACAGTATATAAAGACAACTTGACGGGCGACTGCCAAGTAGTCTCCAAGATGCCCAGGAAGGCTCAGAAGAAGACTACCAGACAAGACCCAAAGAAACAGGCCGCGGAAGACACCAGGGCGGCTAGTGATGATGAAGTTAACAGGAGGTGCACGCACTTACAACGTGCGAGTGAGTAAGGAAACCGTGCGTACGCCGCACGTGTAGGTACGGCCTGTACGCGGCAACGTAGCAATCGCACAGAGATCGTGCGTTGTAAGCACGTACAACTCACTTACCACTTGCGCAACGTACGATGCACGCAACCGCTGACGGCCAGGCGTGTCGTGCAGACCACGTACGTACACCTTGCGCAACCGTACGTGCGAGTGACGTACTCCCTCGGCCGGCCACCCTACGTTTGCAGAAAAAACGTAGCAGACGTAGCCACGACAAAAACGTACGGACAAAAAGCACGCACGGCGAGTTGTGACCGTAGCTTTAACAATGCTAAATGGCATAGCGTACATGAAGCCTCGCCTTATAGCTTACGGCCATGAGCTATTGTAGACGTCGTACGTAAATACATTATTAAGGCACATGGTGTTCTATAAAGGTTACTACATGTACATGTGCATGTCTTGTATTTGGTATCATCTTATGGTTTTCAATTGTGCCTTTTAAACATTGAAATGTCCCTTGTGTGTTAAAGGTTTATTCGTTTTTATTAGATTTACACACACTCTTCTCTCCCCCATACAGCTGAAGGAGCTACACGCGGAGGGGAGGTTTTCAAATAAGCAAAGGGTACTTATAGCTTCAAGCACTCTCTCTCTCTATTTATATATACATTTGAAGTGGCATCGCTCACTTAGCGGCACAAATCTATGTGGCTTGTGATTAGCAAACTTATTCTGTTTACCGAAGGAAAACGTATTGTTTTTACTCAGTTTCTTCCTCCTCTTCTGTTCCAAACACTAAACCTCTGGCCAATGGCATAATTTGTTGACGTCTGCCACCATGGTGACTGGTGTTGGGTTACATAATGTTGCAATTTCATGGTCTGCTCTACTCCTATCACCATATACTAGTAGTATATGTACTAGTATGTGAATGTGTTTGAGTAAACATTAACAGAGCAGACCATGTCCGAAGGTAAACATTATACATTTGCTGTGCAAATGTTACTTCTCTAGTTATTTTGCTATTCTATCATTTGCTATTATATTAGCAAATTTTTTCTCTCTCCTCAAATTCTTTATTGGTAGCTAACTGAACGTGACATTAATCCCGTTACAATCTTTACAGCTCGCCCTGGTGGAGACAGGGGCTATACTTGGCATGAAAAACGTGGGAATACTCCTGGGAAAGTTCTTCGATAAGGACGGGCGATGGGAATCTTTCGGCAGCATAAGCCAAATCTTCCCATCAGGGAAAGTACCGAAGGTGAGAGAAACTTTATGTTTGATTGGTCGGTAGCAACTGTAGGGGCGGACGTAAACTAACCAGGCCCAGGATGGTACCTAGTAGGCTATTTGAAAGTTAGTGAAGATGAACACGATTAAACATAACCTATTTAAATCAGGACCTTATGGGATGATTTATGAGGAAATGCTAGAATAGCCTTCTTTGTTAATTTTCATAATTAAACTTATTCTTTAATTAATGAGAAACATGTTCTCTTCCGTTGTTATCGTCATTTGGCCGAGGTATGAGATCGTGGAACTCTATTTTAGTGACCTGCATAGTAGGTGTGAGGTACTTCGTTATGGCACACTCTCGCATGTATTCATGACTGTTTGGTGTTCAACTACAGGGGGTGACTGATTGGAAGACTGACGAGAACTTCGGCCGGCAGCGCCTGACGGGAGTCAACCCTACATCCATCCGCCTGTGCACGGAGATTCCAAAGGGGTAAGTTGAACTGGGACGGAAGAAGGCAGAAAAATGGATGGGAAAATGAATGATAGTCGTCTCATTGCGTATCATATTGAGTCACTCTGATAAACCACGATTTTCATGATAACTAGCAGGTTAACGAGGTCGTATTCACCAGCTTCCCATCCCCAAAATGCAACGCGAAAACAGGGGGTCTAACCTCATTTGCATAGGAAAGGAAGGCATCGGAATGATCATGGTGGCGTTAAACAGCTTGTTTTTCACTGTGTTTGGAGGTGTTGGGTCATTTTATGCTCAACGTTAATTATATCACTATGGGTTGAATCTGACAACAAATAGAGAATAATTTTTTTTGGAATGAATTGTTTGTAACGTTATAGTGGTAACGCTATATGATGCTGTAACGTTACAAACCACATGTTCCATGTTGAAAAGAACACAAAAACTCCATTCTCTATTTGTTGTCAGATTCGACCCATAGTAATTCAATTAATTTTGAGCATAAAATGCCCTAACACCTCAAAACACAGTGAAAAGCAAGTTGTTTAACGTCACCAGGATCATTCCGATGCCTTCCTGTCCTATGCAAATGAGGTTAGACCCCCTGTTTTCGTGTTGCATTCTGGGGATGAGAAACTGGTGAATACACACAAGAGGGATAGGTGTCAGCATTTTGGTAGCCCTTCTTCAATGACTGACTGGTGTTAGTTCCCATTGTTAGCTAGGTGGGTCCCAAATGAACCTAGCAGTGGAAAGTAGAACCAGTCATTAATTATATGAAGAATGTACTCGTACGAAGCAGAGGGATTACCAAACATCTCACCGATGTGTGTAAAGAACTTTGTTAACCATTAACTTTGTTAATCATAAACCTGATAAAACTATTCACTAATATTTCGCAGGTTTGGAGTGACGGCTGAAATGGTTGAACCTTTCCTGCAAGGCCTGAAGCTGGAAGATGGCATCACCAAGAAGCGGCTGTACTACGTGGATCATTCCAACATGGCGATCTCCTCCATGGGCAACACCACATCACCCAGGCCAGTGAGTACTCGATTTGTTAATTGTTTTTTGCTTGTTCACACAATAACAGGGAAGCCGCCTTAAGGTAGTCTCCACCAGACTTCTTTTGCAGGCTGAATAAATCGTAGAAATCGGCCTAAGGTGGGTATTAATTGGCCAGAGAAGGTAGCCGGCCAGAGAAGCCCCATTTGCCTCCCAAAAGAAGTCTATGAGAAGTCGCTATCCTCTTGACAAACCATGGGCACGGGAAGTCAGACTGTTGTTTTGAAGGCAAAGCAATAAACGGCTTACTTGGTTACTTCGCACCTATTTAAAACCAATTTGTGGACTTCAAAGAGGATAGCGACTTCTTACAGACTTCTTGGCAGGCAAATGGAGCTTCTCTGGCCGGCTACCAGCCAGGAAACCTCATTTGCATAGGACAGGAAGGCATCGGAATGGTCCTGTTGACGTTAAACAGCTTATTTTTCAGTGTGTTTTGAGGTGTTGGGGCATTTTATGCTCAACGTTTATTGAATTGCTATGGGTTGAATCTGACAACAAATAGGGAATTTTTTTTAATATGCGGTTTGTAACGTTATAGTAGTGGTAACGATATACTGATGCTGTACGTTACAAACCACATGTTCCATGTTAAAAAGAACACAAAAACTTCATCCTCTATTTGTTGTCAGATTCGATTAATAGTAATTTAATTAATGTTGAGTATAAAATGCCCCAACACCTCAAAACACACTGAAAAACAAGCTGTTTAACGTCACCAGGATCATTCCGATGCCTTCCTGTCCTATATGCAAATGAGGTTTAGACCCCTGTTTTCGCAATACATTCTCGTTAATGTAAGTAGTGCTCCACTGTCACCGAGACTTTGCCATTCTGCCGTTTGGTTTGCCCAAAGATACCGGCTTTATAAAGTAAAAGAAGTTGCACCTAAGGTGTTGACTATGAAAATGTGCCTTGTCTGACCATCGTACATGGTACAATGCTAATACATGTAGGTGGATAAAGGAGTTGGATTGAACAGCAATACATGTATTACCTTAGGTAGTATTAAAAGTAGACTTGATTATTCATTCATACAATTCCATATGCATGTTTGAAAGTCATGGCAGCTATCGTTCTGGTATCGTAATAGTCTGTAACAACTAGTGCATCTCTCTCTCTGTCTGTCTGTCTGTCTCTCTCTCTCTGTCTCTCTCTCCCTTTGTAGATGTGCGCTCCATTCGGCTTGTTCTTCGTCAATACCAAGAAGGACCTCGTACCGGTGGCCATCCAACTGTACCCTAACGAAGGAAAAGGGCAACACCCGGTGAGTATCCGTGTTATTACCTTCGTCATATATATGGTTGCTGATTTTGTAATCGGCTATAACTTGGAGTGTGGTGCATGTATCTTTATGATATTTAGTAGGTAGGATGAGGTTTGGAAAAGCAGGGTCAAGGTCAATTTTGGGTACTTAAGCAGTTTTGTAAGGTACTGCAGCGGGGTACATTTCATGATATCTCGTCACTCAGTCTTCCTCAGCTATCTGACCCATGCAAAATGCTGTGGACACGTGACTTTTTCCCACATGTGACGTCAGCAAAGGGTCAAAGGTTGTCTGAAGTCGATATCGCCCCCCCCCCCAAATGAACTACTCTGTGAGTGGATAAAGGTACTAGTACTGGTATACGACTGTTGCATTACAACATCAACCATTTGTAGGTGTTCCTGCCGAATGACCCGCCCAACACGTGGCTCCTGGCCAAGATGTGGTTCAACTGCGCAGACGCGAACTATCACGAGGCCGTGCCTCACCTTGGTACGTTTTATCACTGCTGTAATATAATTCAGCCTAATTTTTCAATGGTGCTGTCTGTAATAAATAATTTAATTTTATTGTACATAAATTGTACAAGATACCACGTATGGCATATACTAGGAGCTTAATTTACATTATTAACTTAAAAAGACAATGCAGTCTTGAACGAGAATATGCCTTTACAGTTTTAAAACTTAGCCTTAATTTAAGGTATTAGCATTTATGTACAATGCATGTCTTGTGATATGTACTTTGATTTGTTATTTAAATTCGAAATATATCATCTAATCTACCAGCAACCCTGGCAAATTATATGATAGACTTTATAATTATATAGTAATAAATCTACTAGTGAGGATATCGGCTAAGAACAAGAAAAATGATGCAGGTGCTTTGGTACTTGGAGTTATGACTGTTCTTTGTTCTTTTCTCAGCTGGTATGAATTTTACGGAATGCCGTGATCGTTTCTATGTTTCTTTCAATGCAGGTTTCACGCATCTTCTTGTTGAGGCGTGCAACCTGGCGGCCAAGCAGAACCTGTCCATCACCCACCCAATGCACCGTCTGCTGTTGCCGCACTTCATCTACATGTTCGCCATCAACGAGTGAGTCCACAAGGTGTTTTCTTGACGTATAGTGTACATATCAGAATTTTTACATAGACGCGTTGACTATTGTATCTAGTAATGTCACTATGGCGTACTGCAAATCTTGAAATATTCGTGTTGGGTTTGTGTTCGTGGTGTTCGCGGTGAGCTCTCTTCTGTATTGCTTCAACTTCAAACCTCAAATATCTCCTCCACTACCCCGAAGCTAGGTCCTCGTGAACTCATAATGTCGCTTGAATTTATTATTTCAGCTGACCATCACATGATACTACTTGAAACGTGTCCAGTTGCTTAAGTAATTGCTTTCATGTGTATGTCATTACTTGGATGTCTAACCTTCTTCGACGTCATTATATGTTTTTTTTCCGTCCAAGGGTACTGCAGCTTTGTTCTTTAGTCTTTGTTCTGATGATTTTTTTTTGTTTTGGGCCTTTCCGTCTGTTGCTGTCTCTGTGGCACCCAAAAGCGATTTTAGGACAGTAAGGCTGGATATTCAAAGTCAACTATCAGGTCATATTGTTTGATGTAGTAAGCGTAATCAACCCTATTCCACAGCGAACTGATATCTGTGTGGCAAAATTGCAATGTTGCTGACGGAATACGGTTGTATAGTTGGTTGGTTCTAGCTGTTTATACTTCAAGTAGGAAATGTGCTAAGAAATGTCATGACATTTCTAGTAGATGTTAATATCAGAAAGATTTCCTCATACAGATTATTTTGTTTTTCCGCCTTTGAAAAGTTTTTTTCCGTGATTCCAATAGAAACAGTCCAGCATTGCCATACATCCTCCTTACTGCAAATGTATAATCTATCGGGCTAGAAGAGATTGTTATTTCTGGTTGTCTTTGCAAGTAGTAGCCCAAATTTATCCTTGAATTTAACTAGGCCTAGGTTCAATCTAACAACTTTACCTTCTACATTTTTTTCAGGTTCGCCCTGCATACGTTGATCGCCAAAGGTGGCGGTTTGGATGAAGCTACACAGATTGGAGTCCAGGGAAGCTTTAAGCTTATAAGGCAAAGGTGAGGCGAAATGTTAAATACATACTGGTTTATTATGTACTAATGTTACAGCTAACCTTACTTCCATTGTGTGTGAAATGTTTACGAAAGTTACCAGTATATTTGTTTTCTATTAACAGGTTAAAGACTTGGCGTCTAGACACAGATGGCAATCTGCCGGAAGACCTAAAACACCGTGGCGTAAGTACTATTATCTTAAATCTATACTCTTAAAATAGATAACGACTGCCCAGTATGATATATTACTTTGTTACATTCTGTTGTGTTACAAAGAGCAGTTGCGCTCAATCTTCAAATGACTTGGTAGTTTTTGTCAGTTTTTGCTATCACTATGCAAAGTATTTCATCTTGAGAAATTGCAGTTAACGAATCCTGCAGGGAGAAGATCTTCCCCGCAAATTTAGCCTATTTTTATCATTTAATGTATTTCAAGAGTATTTTTGTCGTTAAATGTATTTAAAACACATCTGTTTGTCTTGTGGTATATCAGGGCATCCTGCTATGATGATGAAACGTTATTGCAAATTTCCACCCGAAGGCTCATTGCAAGTAACGAGATACCATTAATGAAAAGCAATGGCAATGTAGGACATGGGCTTACTCTAATGCTAATGTTAAGTTGTTGAGTTTGTTTTGTTTTTTTGGAAGGAATTTTGAGTCTTTTCTCTAATGCGAGGGTTCTGTGTTGTTAGGAGGAGTACAGCTTTCTTTCGACGGTAAACGGTGGCGGTGTAGCCTGGGTACCATCCTACTTGTATGCCGGGGCTCCCACACTCGCTTCCCTAAGAAGTTCTTAGGGAAGCGAGTGTGGGAGCCCCGGTATACAAGTAGGATGGTACCCAGGCTAGTGGCGGTGAAGAAATTAGAACGTATGTTCGTGGCTTCTTTCATGCATTTGCACCAATCTTGTTTATGCTAGGTTGACAACGCAGACGATCTGCCCAACTACTACTATCGTGACGATGCCCTGCCCATCTATGAGGTTATCAAGAACCATGTCACTAAAGTTGTGGAATACTTCTATAAGCCTGATGGTAAGTGGTTAAAATTGCGATGACTTGAACGCACGCATTTAAGAGAAAAAAAAACACTAGAGATGCACTTCAATTCAATCTTTAACAATTCTATTGCTGAAACATGTGGACGTTTTGTACAAGTACGCAACATTGTAATATCTTGAATTCCCGGTAAAATGCACAATATGATAACTTACATGATGGTAGCCTTGTTAGTAAAGTCTGCTCACGATCGCAGTAGGGTGGTCATCCCATCGTGTGCATCCAAGGATCCGGATCTCCCCGGTAATGAGAGCGTTCTTGCCCGCCCAAGTCAATTAGGGATTTTTTTGAGGGATCGGATTGATTTACCTGACTTTAATAGGAAAGGGTTGGCAAGAAACATCAACTGTCAGAAAAACGCCAATGCTAGGATTGAGACTGAACTGAGGTCCTTTGTCGGACCAGTGGTTTGGTGAACAAGCCAGCGACAGTGCAATTATAAGTAGGTGCTAATGACAAAACGTAGCTTTCAAACTTTTCGTATTTAGATATGTTTTGTGTTAACGCCATCTGGCCTACTCTTCTGACATATCGACAAACGACCCTGGCCATCGTGAATTTTCGCCTGCAACAAACCATGCCATTACAAACACATTCATTGTGGGGTCGTGTGGCGTAGCTGCGGAGTGCGCGAATCGGAACTAAGAGTCCCAGGTTCGAGTCCTGACATGCCACCGATCTTGTGCCCTTGGGAAAGGCACTTTACATGACTTTCCTCACTTAGCTCAGGTGTAAATGAGTATTGTCCTGTCGTGTATTTGTCCCCTGTGTTGGTGGCGGCATTAACTTAAGTTGAAAAAACTTGAGTGTGTCGTCACCACGTCAGGTGATTACATGTTGGAATAATAAAAAAAAACACATTCATACCTCGACGTCCTCCAAGACGATTCTCCGATCCTCTAATATTCTTTTTGCTACATGTATTTTGTATTTATCTGTATTATACCTGTATTGTATGATCATTGTGACATACCCCTTAATGAATTACATCATAGAAAGAATGTATGAATACCTTATAGGGGACGGCAAGTCCACCAAACTGGAAACTGATGTTGAGATCCAGAGTTTTGCGAAGGCTCTCGTTGACAGCGGAATCCAGGTACGTCATTGAATAACCTCAGTTACATGATAGATATTTCTGTTAGACAAACCTAGAACTAACGCACTGATGAAGTGTTTCATGTACAGGGCTGTTAGTGTGTTGAATAACCTTCCAATTGTTATGCAATCCACACAATCCCTGAGAGTGTTTAAGGACGATTTGCACAAATACCTCCATCAGTAGCTCACCGGTACCAGCACTTGTTTGACAGGATTGTTTGTTTTTTAAATTATGTATATTGTAAATATGTTATTGATTTAGATGTGTTTTGTGACTTGTCAACTATGTATGAATATATGTATTGTCTGTATGTATGAATACCAGGAAAACTAGCGGGTCCACCGCAAATGGTTATTCTAATAAAGTTTCAAAGTTTCAAAGATGTCGTTGTGACTGGTGATATCTTACTTTAATGTCCTGGTCGACTAACTAACTTTGTACAAAACGTACAAAATTAGTTTTATTTCTCTTGGTGATGGGAAGCTGATAAAGGGTTAGAAATGAACATGATAAGTATGTTATCTAAAGTGATATATATCATACATTTACATGTATATACGAGAAGTTTCATACGATTTCTGAATGAACTGAATCATTATGAACTACCGTCGTATCTTACACACAGGGGGTTCCTGGGAACGGAACTTTGTCCAACGTGAATCAGCTGATCCAGACCCTGACCTCCATCATCTTCACCGCCAGTGTGCAGCACGCAGCCGTCAACTTCATGCAGTGGGACCAGTACGCCTTCGTACCTAACATGCCGCTCGTGCTGGAGGGAGAACCTCCGGCAACTAAGGTATAGCATTGTTCGACATTTCACAATTCTATAACCTCGTAACAGGACCTTAAATCCACTTACACGTTATGGGTTACGTTTTTGGTTTTACAACTTTCGGTTGTGATATCTGGTGATCTGGACATGCTAGGGTCCCAAATTTTGAATGGTAGATAGCTCTTGTGCTCGGAAATAAGTGACAGGAGTTTTAACTCCCTAGCAGCTTGCTCCAGAACTGCAGGGTCGTTTGTTTTAAAATCTTTAAGGGAAGATAACTAAAAATCCGAATAACGGATCGTCATGACTTTAAAAAACCGAATAACGGATCGTCATGACTTTTAGAAACATAACCTTTTTAACCATAAAACAACAGACTGTACAACTCGTTCCTCCACTGCACAATTAGACTGTACAATAGCCAAATGCAGACATAGTGTTCTTGTGTTTCATGTCCCCCTTTTGTATGTAATTGCCTTGTGCATCTCTTGTACTTATGTAAAGTCCACACAATTCAGGAGTACTACGTACCCCTGCTATATTGACTGTTTTTAATAAAATTGAAAATTGAAATTGTAACTCTCGTCTTTTCAGAACCCTCTGACGGAACAAGACGTCCTGAACGCACTCCCTGGGAAGTACCAGACCGTGAAGATGCATCTGCTGACAGGAGTCCTGAGCGAGCGCTCCACACAGCCTCTTGGGGACTTTGAGGTCGAGTACCTCCAAGGGCCAAAGGCTGAAAAAGTCTTTGATACGTAAGTGGAACTAGCTATTGTCCTTGGTAGAAAACTCATTTCAAGTAACCACTGCTATTTTTTTGTCATATCCTATTATGACACTAAATCAGTAACATTGCTTTGGCAATCGCCGTAAGTAATATGGTTTGGATAATAAGTCTTTTTCCACCTGAATAGATTCAAGGATGAACTGGAAAAAATCGCTCAAGATATCCAGCTCAAGAACTCTACTCAGCGTTCCCATCCGTATGACTACCTGAACCCTCGTGAGATTCCCAACGCCATCAGTATCTAACTGCTCAGTTCACATCAGCAGTTTTCTGCAAGGTCCAAAACATGTGGAATTTTTATGGAATTGGAAACTGAGAACGTTCATATATACATTAAGTCTTTGTTGACAGTTCTGTCATAAGCTACACAGCCATGTTTTGAATGCCTAATACCTTCTTCGAAGAATAACGATCCCTCTGTAGAGCTCATTTAGCTATATTCAGACCATATCTAGTCTAGATGATCGTGATGTCTTCAAGAAGATAATACTTTCATTGGTGTGCGTGGTGTTTTTTGTGTTCGAAGCTAGAGGAGTATTAATCTCTAATCAGACTGTTGGGGACATTAAAAAATAGTATGTCATTGAAAGGACTGCTGTAGGAATATAGAAGATCATAATGTATTCAATAAGATAATGCTTTGGTGGTGTACGCGGTGTTTTACTGTGTTCGATGCTGTAGCAGCATAATCTCTAATCAGACTGTTGGAGACATTAACATAATAGTATGTCATTGAAAGGACTGCTGCAGTAATATGGAAGATCATGATGTATTCTAGAAGATAATGCTTTGCTTGGTGTGTGTGGTGTTTTACTGTGTTCGATGCTGAACAGCATAATCTTTAATATACTGTTGGAGACATTAACATGATAATATGTCCTTCAAATGATAGCTGCAGGAATATAGAAGATCATGATGTACTCATGAAGATAATGTTTTTATTGGTGTGTGTGGTGTTTTACTGTGTTCGATGCTGAAGCAGCATAATCTTTAGTTATATTGTTTGGGAAGTTTACATAATAATATGTCCTTGAATATCTTGGATAGCTGCAGGAATATAGATGCTTAATAACCAGTCAAACATGGTCACCCTACTCTAAACAGTACCATCATATCAACAAAGCTCTTTGTTTGTACAATGTTTTGTATTTTTCTAATTGCAGCAGAGACACCTAGCTACAGTGCTAAGTATTGCCTTGAGGAAGGTGACTGACTGAGATGTTAACACTTGGTTATGAAAAAAGAACAATGTTATCCAGAAATTTACCAAACTAAGAAAACTATAATTAAATTCACGGAGTACAATCATATAATTATGTATTGAAAGTGTGGTTATGTTTAGGATACCTTCTATGACCAAATTGTTTGCCAATCATTTAAACTTATACCCTTCCGAAATAATTTCATCAGATCGGTAGAACATATCGGTTTTCCCATCCTGAAATTGCATTTGATGCCTTTAAGGACTAGATTTAATGCATTTCACATCAATACTGTATTTGATACAGTTATCATGCGTCTACATCTAATATAATTGCAATAAAAATTAGCATGTGTAAATAATGTACAATTATTACTATCAAGTTCAAAATCTCAAGTCTAAGGCATTTAGCTGTATCCGTTGTATTCTTTAAAGACTTTGTGTCCTCTAAAGATATCATGTACTTTGTACACCTTCGCCTCCGAAGCATTTACCATGTCTATTATTACCCGCCAATAGAGTAATGGTAAAAAGGAAAACTATTCGGTACGAAAAACACCAAACCACAAAGAAATTTTACTGTTATGCAATCGCATTATTTCTAAATATTTCCATTGGAATTTTTACTTCATATCCTATTACTATATTGCTGTTGAAAATTCAATATACGGGTATAGCATGGAATATCTGAGACAAAATACCATTTAGCCTGGTGATAGCTTGTCTCACAGGGTGCACACAAACTAACAACATTGTACAAGATAACATGATAAAATAACACACATATGGCACAAAACGAAACAAACAGTTGTGCCTACTGTTACTCTATGTCAGCCTATGATGAACATGTCTAGTATGTCGAAAATGTATATCTCCTTCATCTGATAATTTTCTGCTTTTGTGTAGAGCTTACAGATTGATTTCTTTGAATGTGTCCGCTAGTTCCTTCTCGATGCATCCCCTCAACCAGTCGCTCATTAACTTGTCTCCCCGGATGTCCACCCAGTTGTCGCTCAGGGACTTGGACGTGGTGATGTCTTCTTTCTTCAGCTTGTCAATGATGGGTTGTATCTGGTCAAACTGCAGAATGCAGAGTATTCCGCACAGCTTTAGTCTTATATGTAGTATTGTGGTGTAGTATTAGTCAGTATAATGTGCAGTTGGCGATGCTTTGCATGTTGACATATCTCTTGGTGATTTTAATTCAATTTGATATGTAAAAAAAGGTTGTCAAGGATATAGAGGTAGTCATCACTATTTAATGAGATTTTGGTAATTAAACTATCGTAATATGTTGATTTCACACAATATGTTTCAGAGGCATGGAAGAGATTAAACCAGTCTTTTTACTCACCAGAATGTGCTCCTTGTAAGAGAGGCGACGGAAGAAGTCTTCCACAGTTTCTTTGGGTCCTTTGAATGTGTCCGCTAGTTCCCCCTCGATGTATCCCATCAACCGCTCGCTCATTGACAAGTCTCCCCGAATGCCTGCCCAGTTGTCGCTAAGGCAGGGACTTGGACGTGGTGATGTCTTCTCTCTTCAGGTTGTCAATGATGGGTTGTAGTCGGTCAAACTGTAGAATGCGAACGTATTCCGCACGGGTTTAGTCTTACAGTATAATGTGCAGTTGGCGATGCATCCATGTAGTTTACCGTACTTAAGTTCCGGTGTCTTTCTTGCTGGGATGATTTGTATGTTGACATCTCTTGAGTATATTTAGTATATTTAAAATAATTTTTAAAGGATAGGTAGTTATCACTCTTATACAATAATGAGATTCTGTTAAATCAGTTCTAATGAGTTGACTTAACACAATCTTTCAGAGGCATAGAAGAGATTAAGCCAGTCTTTGTACTCACCGGAATATGCTCTTTTGAAGACAGGCGACGAAAGAAGTCTTCCACAGTTTCATTGGGTCCTAGATAAACAATAGCATCGTGATATTGTCCTTTCAATGAACCGTTGCTGTCAAAATTTAGAACGATTAACAGGCAATTGCAATAAATTTGAGTGCTTCCATGTGCTTTTTGAAATAGAAGGGTTGATGGTGAAATAAGCGTGTTTTACAGTTGTTTTTCTCACCTGTCACCTTCTGATTTCCAATTGCTTCACTCTCCCTCTTGTATTGTTCCTGTTGCTTGTGGATCTTGACGTATCTCTCCGCCACCAATAGTGCTGACCTCATGACTTTCATTGCTTCGATATGAGTCCTGTAATCTAACTTCATAAGACAAAGCAGTAAGATTGTGCTGTGCTCCTTCGCTCTTATACTGTGCAGACATGGCTTCCAAAATGTCTTGCTAAACCAAAGCGTCAATGTCTACTAGTTTGGAAGCATATTCAAGCAACGCAAAGATACATTTCTAGTTGGCTGGTGTGGGAAGACAGTTTGTGAGGGCAAATATAGGGAAGTGACAGTAAAAAAGGATTCAGCGAGAAGTTTACAACAATTGATAAAAAAAAAATTAACAAAGCCCCAAATCTTTTGCAGAGGATTAAAATCTTATCTTGTTTGCAATTTCTGGTTTTAAAATCAACAAATTATGAAAATCATGTGGAGAGGGACGGGTACCACAAAAGCATCTTTTCATTAATTTTTCAAATTCCATTCTTAAATTTATTTCAGAATCTCCTGACCTCCTTCCTGGTCTACGTGGTAGTTGGTAACAAAGAAGGTAAAACTACGGGGGCTTCCAGTTGCCGCGGACGCCTTGGCCAGGACCTCCTCTTCTTGACTTTCGGCAATCTTGTCGTGGTGAGTGATGACCGTGATCGGAGCTATTCCTATTGTAAAAAACAACAACAGAAAATGGATTAAAACAGCCGCGTGAAGCATATTTGTGTTTTGTATACCCAGCAGTACATGAAATGAAATAACAAATCATACAACTAGAAAGGCGGACATTTGTTTAGGAGCAAATGCAACAGATGGCGTCACCGCATCCCCCGTACCAAAAATGGACCTATCCCCCTTCCGCACAAATGGGCTGTTCCTAAATCACCCCTGTCCAAAATGTGAATTGTTCCTATAGTCTATACCCCGGTGCGTCGTGGGGGTGGGGGTGGGTGGTCGTGTGGCGCAGTGCTGAATTTCAGGTCATGTGGTTTTCTTCTTAGCGCACATTTTTTTAATGCAGTTAATACTGTCTATGTGTTATACCTTGGTGCATGTGTTAATGCAGTTAACACGATTAAATCGCAACAGACAATCATCTAGAAGAATAGATGAAAGCTGCATGCCGATTAGGTCTCCTCCCCCTGCCCTTTCGTTAAATGGATTCAATTTATTCATCTTGGGGCCAAATAACATTAAATTTGGCATGAAGATAGAGTGGCCGAATACCCCCATGTATTTTTTTTTCATTTTCTAAAATCAGGCAAAAATATACATTTCGGGGTCCTGGTAATAAATACGAATGACCTGAAATTCGGTATGGGGATACATGTGCCTTGGACACGTGTCCACAAACTGTTTTTTTTTTTTTTACATTTTTGACATACACCACTTCAAAAATAGGGCTTTTGGCTATTTCCGGACAAAATTGTACATTTTTTTCTTCGAGATTCGGTATAAGGATACTTTGGAAACATGTGAATTTCATTTTGACATTTTTTTGAAAAAATTTGTACGCTTCAGAATGAGGCTGCTCTGAGTTCATTGACCCTATCCCATAACCTCACGCGTGGAGTAAGGATTGTGGTCATTTCAGAACAGCGTCCAAAGTAGCAGAAGCATATTAAGCAAAAACACTGTAAGTATTGGGTTTTGTGATTTACTTTGAGTTTGTGATAATAATCTTATATCACGTTTATAAATCACAACTGCGTCATGCTTGCCCTGACAGTACCACTAATTGTTTTGTTACCCCTTTGAGTGTAAATCTTAACAACATTCAATGTAGGGATTTGATTCTCAATGGTATACAGGAATATTCTGGTGAAAACACAAGAGAAGCAATATATAACATACTTTCGCCGATATTAGGTGCAAACGTACAGCTCTTAAAGGTTACACGAATAGGGAAGAAATGTGATTTGCCATCGGCTCGTCCTGTTCTGGTTCGTTTTAAGAAATACAGTGACAAATTAAATCTTACACACCAGTCTAAACAGCTATAGCTAGCTATTCAAAACATATCGTTGAACTATCCTAAAGCATCGTATGAAATACCCGACTTAGAGCACGTTCTCCTCAATTTCTGTAAAACACTACTTCAGATTCCCAGAAGCTCTGTTAATGCCGCCGTAAGGGGCGAACTTGGAGCTTTTCCACTTTATATTGACTCGCAATCACACCTCATTAAATATTGGCTCAGACTACACAACCTGCCCAATGATAGAATAGTCAAAAAGGCTTATGATATTGCTGTGGAACAAGAACAGGACTGGGTCGTTTGTTTGTTTGTTTGTTTATTTAGATCTCCATTAGTATGGAAGTCAACTCCATACTATTCTTCCTGGAGTTCACATTAAATGAAATAACAATAATAATAATAATAATTGCTTTTAGCAATAATAATAAGTAAAACATACAATATGTTCATGTAGAAGATATTTTATGTAGACACGGTTTTCAAAATGTTTGGCTAAACCCAACAGTTGACGCCAAGCATTTTGGAAAAGTGTTCAACCAACGTCTGAAAGACACGTTTGTTTCTGGCTGGAGGCAAGAAATAAGAAATTACAATAAACTGCAAACCTATTCTAAATTCAAAACGGACTTCACTTTTGAGAAGTACCTTTCATCAATCCAAAACAAATCATTTGTTGCTAACATAACCAAACTGCGAATCAGTGCACATTGTTTAGAAATAGAAAAAGGTCGTTATAAGAATGTACCAGCCACTCAGAGACGCTGTCCTACATGCAAACATACTGTTGAAGATGAATTTCACTTTTTATTATCTTGTCCCATGTATACTGAAGAAAGGTTGACACTTATGAATATGATTTCACGTAACTCAAACATTACCTTACCTAAGACAAGCTCAGATACTTTTAATTTACTGATGTCATGTCCTGAACCAATATCCTTGTATATAGGCCAATTCATATCCTCTGCTCTTCGGAAAAGAAACAATATCATCTGTGACACCTTGAACTGATGTTAACATTGTATCCATGTTCCATATATATTGTATAATTCATCACGCACAATTATAGGGTAGCATTAGAATAAGGTATCTAGAAGTAGATTTTAGTATTGTTGTTATCTTTTGATTTAAACACTTGCCATACATTGTATCCATTGCAATTGTTGCGCAATAAAGATTGATTGATCTAATAAGCAATTGTATTTTATAAGTATGTCTATAAGTAATTTATAATTGATCCCTGACAGCCATTGCTATATATGAATATAGCACTTGTGTAAGTAATTGTCCTTAGAATTTTTAATGATTGAATACGTCAATTTTAACGTTGTATTATATTGTAACGATTTTAACCGTAGATGTGTAACTACTTCAGTTAGACTGACACGTTTGTAAAATCGCCTCACAATTCAGCCTGTTACGGCTGCCAGGAGGCTTTCATGTAACATCTTAAGTTCTAATAAACCAGTCTACTACTACTACTACTACTACTACTTATGTGCCGTATCATGTAATACCTTTACCGCATTCACTAAAACATCTACTACATGAAATGTTCTTCACGAGCGTGTATTACCTTCGCCAAGAAGGTTATGTTTTCGTGGTCAAGTCTAGCTATTTGACTGTGAACAGCATTACTCAAGAAGCTTGTGACAAGAACTGGAAATGATTAGATTTTTGGCTAACATTACTCTAAAATTGTGTAGTACTATCTCTTCATACTGAGAGAATTAAACATTTCAAAATTTCGGCTACTAAATTACCTGTAAGTCAAACACGGGGAATACAACTACAGAAACACAAACAGCGTAATGGAAACCTTGATGCAGACAATTAAAGAGATATGAAGTGATAATTGTCTGGTATTTCTTCTTTCCACTCTTCTGTTTTTATATACATTTCTCGTTGGATTTTTACTACTATATTTTAGACAACTAACACAGTATATTTATGCGTTATTGATAATTGAAATTACCCCTTTTATATGAAAACAAATAGAACATACGCTACCCCAGGAAACTGGAATAGCAACTGGATAGATTTTGAAAATTGACTAAAAGTAGTGGATACTAAATAAACGTCTGACTGTTTATATAGCCAGTTGCTAGCATTTTTCAAAATGTATCCAGACAGTTTTCAAAAAGTATCCAGGCCGGCAGTGACAATGTCATTGTTTCTCATTACCTGGATTTCTAATCTTTCTAATCGGTTTAATATAGGCTACGTTGATGTTGTAGTGCTGTATACCTGATGTATAGCCTGGGTGCCATACTATGTGTATGCTCCCATACTCACTCCCTAAGCCCGAGAGACAAAAAAACGACCTCCACTGCCTGTCACTATAACAAACTCCGCTAGGTGATGCCGAAGGTCCACTAATACCACTATATTTAGATCAATAAAGGACTTGTAATGCCCATACGTTTGATAGTAATAAAAAGAACCTAATGTGAGGTCTAAGGCAGGCTTACATTGCGAAAAAGAACATCGTAGATTCCACTGAGTTGTACAAGGTTTCTTCTCCCCAGTCTTCACCATATCAGGACCATTAGATAAAGGAATTTGCTTGAAGAAGTGGTATGGTACGGCTGGAAAAGGTAAATAAATAGAAAGACAACGAAGAAATTATTGACAGTTGTACAGTGATCATTTTCATTCAAAATATACGGAAAAGTAACAAAAACTTGGTACAGTCTAAAATAGAATTCAGCCGCCACGCCACGTCGAGAGTTCGAGGCAGTTTTATTTTCCTTCCGCGAGAGAAAGTAGTCCGTTCCATGATTTCGGGGGCCGACACGCCTTACCTGAAAGCTTGTAGCTGAGGTCTGCAATCATTTATATTCCTAACTTTAACTTATTGATAATATGTAAGCTTCATTTGTTACTCCTATACATTTTTGAAGCAATGGCATACCGTGATCCTTTCAAAAATTTGACCTCAAAGCAGGTAATTTTCGTGGAATTCCCCTTCTCATTTCTAACTTGTTGTGGATTCTGATCCAACAGGAAATCTAGTGTGTATGAAAGAGCAAAGATTCTAGTTTGTGTTGATATATAACTTGTTATCGATTTCGAGGGCGACATGCAGATGCCCCCAAAACGCGCGAGGTCATGTCATAATTTTGATTCCAGAATAGAACGCGCCCGGTTTGACATTTTTAGTTATCACCTACTCTGGACAGGTCCTCGCTCCGCAGAACGTAAATTTCCATGTGGAATTATGTTAACAATGGTCTCCTGTATATGGATTCCGAGTTTCAAGTCAATTCACAAACCCGAAGTGATATAAATCTGACCTTAAGATTTATGATTGATATCACGGCGAACCGCGCGCCGTTTTGAGACAATTTTACGTTCTAAAACCCCCGGGAGCCGGGACCTCTTACTACAAAGCTTGTTGCTTGAGTTTATAACTATATATCTTCATTATTTCATTGTATCTGTGAATATTAATATTCCTATTTTACTCCTAGTGACTTTTTAAAACGATTGTTAACCTCTGCTCGTTTGATAATATGACCTGAAACCACTTGATTTTGGTGGAAATTCCTCCGATGTTTTTACCTTATTTCAGTTTTCACAACAAAAAGAAATCTAGTGCGTAAAATAGCCTGAAGTCTCTACTTTCTGTCCGTATATAACTTGTTATCAATTTTGGGGACGTTATGAGCTTCCTTCGTAATCGCGCGA